AGTGACCCTCAGCAAACCATAGTCTTATGTCAAGAGGTCTTGTCCTTGTGTCTACATAACAACAACAAATATGTCTAGGTTTTCACTTCACACACTTGGTGAGAAAGGCCTCAGTGCTTTCTTGTGATAGAAGTTCCAGAAGTCGAGTTTCTGAGAGATCAAGATCAGACAAGAGTAAGTAGTGGAACCTAAACTTGAGGGCAGTTGCTAAAACCTGTGCTCTTTCACAGGCTTTGAAGCACATTGGAAACCAAATCCCTCATTAAATTTATCTGCTAGGAAAGTACAGAAAACAAGACCTGTGAACTCTGTCACAGTAACATCACTGCCTGCTCGGCCCAATCACGTTCTGAGAGAGAGTAACCCAAACGTAGCAGCACACGGAGGAGGGGTACCTGGGAACGCTGAGTAGTGAAGGAGGCGAGGGCAGGAGCCACCCCCTTTCCTCTTCTCTGCCCTGGTTCTCACTGTCCCACCATACCCAGGACTTGAAATTAGCTCTTTCTTCCTAAGGGAGTCAGTAGAAAAAGTCAGAGACCCTGGGTTTGAATCTATCCCTTACTAACTACGAGTTAACAAGTCTGTGTAACTTTGCGCAAATCAAGTAATCTTCTTTCTGACCTTCAATTCTCAAGGTCTGTAAAATGAGGGTGACAATAATGCCTGCTTTGGCCCACTTCAAAGGGTTGCTGTGAGATGAAATAAGATAGATAATGCTGTTATAATGCTATGCAAATGCGAATCACTGCTATGCTAAATAAGTTACTGCTATTTCCAGAACCTTCTCTTTGAATTTAATTTATTCAAGAGTGAGAATATAAGTTACTTAGTCTATGTTCTGGGCGCATTTGTATTTTAAACCTCATTAATTATCATGGACTTTTACTTAACTAAAGTAGCTTTTGACAACAGCAGGAGAAAGAGTTATTTCTTTGGGGCAAGAGGGGATTTCTATTTTTATCCCCCCCAACCCCGGGTCTGGTGAGGTAAATGGCAGTATTTGGTCAAAGTTATATGGAAGAGGAAATAGAGTTTACCACCCCAAGGAGAGGAGGGTCCCCCTTCTGCCGTAATGACTCTCATCCACCTGTGTGACTCTGGGAGGACCGCTTTGGGAGAAAAAAGAGGAGGGAGCAGATAGATGGTGAAAAGAAAAGATCTGAGATTCAGGTACATTGGCCCCTTATCCAACCCTCACTACCAGGGCAAACGGGGTGTCACTGCTCCCCTTCATTCACATGCATGCATCCTATAAATATCACTGAGCACCCACCACATGCCAGGAGTATGCAGGGCACTGGGAACATCAACATAAGACAGTCTGGTTTTGCTTTCCTGCTGCTTGTAGTTTAGGAGGAAGATGTGTAGTTAAATAGGCAATGTGACCAGAGAGGAAGTATCAAAAGCTACAGGGGACTAGAGCCTTAGAGCGAGGGCTGCAACCTAGCTTAGGTACCCAGGGAGGCCGCTCTGAACCCTGAAGGATGAATAGAAGTTGGCCAGCCAGGAGCGTGAGCATGTGGGAAGGCCACAGGGTGAGAAAGAAGAACAGAAAGAAGTCAAATTAGACTTTGGGGATTTTTTTCCCCTTCTCTTTGTGGCTGTCCTTGTTGCTATTTTAAACATTACTCCATCTGGATAAAAATGTGGGACACTGTGACCTCTGTGTGGTTTTACTTTAGTCCCATCACCAATGGCTTAGGATGGACAGACGGACAGAGGCGAGCAGTTTAAAGTCTGACAACAGGCTCAAGACTTTTTTATTCACGGCTGTTGAGTCTAACAGTAAATTACCATGCATGTTGATTTTTGTCAAGATGCTGGGAAGCACTAGATCAAGGCCGTGGAAGTTGGGGTAGAGACGGGGTGGAGTACTCTCTTCCATCCCACCCTCCCAACTTTGGTGTTGTTTCAGAGGGATGGAGGAAGTGGTGGCTTGTTTACAACCCAGAGCTGGTTTTGGGGAGGAACACCCCACTCGCATTGCACAATTTAGCTCCAACTCTGTCCTGGGTGACCCTGCCTGTGGCTGTTCCTATCTCACGTGCCAGTGGAGGTCCTGAGGGGTGGGGAATGGTCCAGAGCTGCAAGGTTTCTTTTCATTTCACACGTGAAGAAACTAATGCCCAGAGAAGCGAGATGATCAAGACAAAAGTCACACAATAACTTGGTTGCAAAGCCAGGACTAGAATCCCTGTCTCTAATGCCACCTGTATGCACTATTTGTATCTGGAGGCCCTTCACAATTCACATAGCTATTTTATACACATTAAGTTATCTGATCCTCTCAGCAGTCCTGTGAGATAGGTATGGATTAAGATCCTTATTTTACAGACATGAAAGCTGAAGCTCAGGGGAGGTTTGGCCAAGTTCCCATAACTGGAAAGTGGACTTTCTGACTCAAAATTCAGAGTGCTTTTTACTGTGCCCTGTGGTTGTGCAGCACACACGTCTTGGTAGTTGCTGATTATCCACCTGAGAATGGTTTGGAATGTAGATAATGATTAGACAGGAGGGCTTACGAGGGGTAAATTAACCGTGTTGGAATGTTCTTGCCAGTTTTCCAGCATCCAAGTTGCAAATCACAATCAAAATGGGCAAGTAGCTGGCCCTACCCTACTAATCCTTCTGTGCAAATTGCCATCTGAACCTCAAGCCAGCAGTTTGTGCGGGCAAAACAGTTTCCTATCTTCAAATCCATACTTAGGAGACTCCTGTCTCTGTTTTCTGCTGGAACTCTGACACTTACTCTTGTAGAGAAGGTTCTCATTAAAAATAAGTGGGGAAAAAATGATTGAATCATCTGTGGGGTGAGAACACTAGCCATGTTCCCTTCATTTTCCCCTTGGGGGCCAAATGGGGGTAGAGGTATCTTTGCTGTTGGTCTTTGTAGACCACAGGGTGGTCCATTCCTGGTAAGGTGACACTGAACATACAGGGCTGGTTTAGATGGGGAGTGGGA